TCTAAACCCTAAACCCCAGAACCTACAGCCCTAAACCCTAAACCCGAAACCCTAAACCCTAAACCCTAAACCCTAAACCCTCCCTAAACCCTAAACCCTATAGCACTATAACCCTACACCCTAAACCCTAAACCCTAAACCCTATACCCTGAACCCCATAACCCTGAACACCAACCAGCCAAGCCCTAAACCCTAAACCCTAAACCCTAAACCCTAAACCCTAAACCCTAAACCCTAAACCCTCCCTAAAAGCTCGAGCTTCGGCGTTGCGTCCGAGATTGGGTGGCGGACGTAGCAGACGCGGACGTCGGAGAGGTTGAGCATGTCGGCCTCGTCTCGCTTTCCCTTTTTGGGAGGGTTTAGGGTTTAGGGTTTAGGGTTTAGGGTTTAGGGTTTAGGGTTTAGGGTTTAGGGTTTAGGGTTTAGGGTTTAGGGTTTAGGGCTTAGGGCTTAGGGTTTAGGAGGGGGCGCACTGTAAGGGTTTTTGAGGATTTGGCGATATCAACGCCTGAACCCTGAGCCCTCAACCCACTAAACCCCAAACCCGAAACCCTACCCCCAATCCGAAGCCCTTTGTCCTCTGGGCTGCGCCCTTTGCCCCTAAACCCTAAACCCTACACCCTAAACCCTAAACCCAAAACCCTAAACCCTAGCCCTAAACCCTAAACCGGAAACCTGAAGAAACCTCGGCGCCTGGTACTTGGCCTGGCCGGCGAAGGCCCCGGAGACAACGGCGGCTGCCGGGAGTCCAGCTGTTTCGAACGACGCTGCATCGTGGATGATGCAGGTCCTCAGGGAAGCCCCTGCGAAGTAGGGTTTAGGGGTTAGGGGTTAGGGTTTAGGGTTTAGGGTTTAGGGTTTAGGGCTTAGGGCTTAGGGCTTAGGGCTTAGGGCTTAGGGCTTAGGGCTTAGGGCTTAGGGTTTAGGTTTAGGGTTTGGGAATCCTGAACCCTGAAGCCGGAGCCTCAACCCCCTGAAGCCCTGAGTCCTAAACCCCGCCCGAAACCCCCGAAACCCCGCGACCTTGGGCCTCTCGGGGCTTCCATGCCTTTAAAGAGGCCTCCACGCATGAATCCCTGCCCAAGACCTCGGTGCATAGAGGCTTATTAGAGGTTTACGGCTTAAACCAGCTCCCAGAGACCCCTACACCCCCAACCGCAGATTTGCAGGAGAAAGGGCCTTCAAAACGCACCCCGCAAGAATGAAACCCTAAAGCCTAAACCCTCAACCCCTAAACCCTGAACCCGAAACCCTAAACCCTAAACCCCAAATTCGCGGCACAAAGCCCAGAGAATAGAATGTGCGTCTGGCGGCGTACACGAACCTCAGTCGGCCAGCCCAAGTATCGCCGACCTGGCACGAAAGAAAGGTTCAGGGGGTTGGGTGTTGGGTTTAGGGTTTAGGGTTTAGGGTTTAGGGTTTAGGGTTCAGGGTTTAGGGTTTAGGGTTTGGGGTTTGGGGTTTGGGGTTTGGGGTTTTGGGGTTTGGGGTTTGGGGTTTGGGGTTGGGGGTTTGGGGTTTAGGGTTTAGGGTTTGGGGTTTGGGGGTTGGGTTTGGGCTTAGCGTTTAGAGCTTAAGGTACTGTGCTTGCAAGATTGGGAGATGCGGCCTCAACCCCAAACCAGCAATTCCGTTACGATTGTGAGGGTGAGGCTTGTACTATGCTGGGTGCGTTCTCCTCAACCCTAAACCCTAAACCCTACAAGTAGTATTTCTCGGGTTGGGAATGCAGGGCTTGCTCGCAACCTAACCCTAAACCCTAAACCCTAAACCCCAAACCCTAAACCCTAAACCCCAAACCCCAAACACCAAACCCTGAACCCTCAACCCCAAACCCTAAACCCTAAACCCCAAACCCCTAAACCCTAAACCCCAAACCCTAAACCCCCGCCTGCACTCCGAAGCGATCTGCTGGGCCAGGCTAGCCGGGCAAGGCCGAGAGAAGGTCGGCTTGCGGTAGCGGCGGGCTGCCACACCTGCTTTAGGGTTTCGGGTTGGGGGTTTAGGGTTTAGGGTTTAGGGTTTAGGTTTTAGGGTTTAGGGTTTAGGGTTTAGGGTTTAGGGTTTAGGGGTTTAGGGGTTTAGGGGTTTAGGGTTTGGGTTTTAGGGCTTAGGGTTTGGGGTTTAGGGTTGAGGGATTAGGGTTTTAGGGGTTCAGGGTTTTAGCGTTTGGGTTTGGGGGTTCGGGGTTTAGGGTTTTAGGGCTCCAGACGACGTTCAAGTCAAGTCTCAGGGAGCTTAGAGGGCTGGTAGTTAAGAATAAAGGGCTTTGGGTCAAGGGTTTAAAGGACTTTTGCCCCTGGATGTTAGGGATGTATTCGGGCTTTCGGGAGGGGCTAAGGAGTCTGGGAGGTCTGGGTAGTCTGGAACAGAGATCCAGTCTGTACGTATAGTTTTACTAGGATTGCCCTTAAAGCGCTCTGAAAAATATATTACAGAACATGATCCTCTGAAACCCAAAAAGCGAAAATCTGAAATGTCCCAAGGCGTACCGAGTTTAGGGTTTGGGGGCTTCGGGTTTCGGGCTTCGGGCGTCGGATTGGGCATTTCGGGTTTTCGCAGGATTAAGGAGGGGCTATGGGGGTTTAGAGTTTCATGCTTGGGGGCTTACCCTGAACCCTGAACCCTAAACCCTAAACCCTAAACCCTAAATCCCAAGGTGTTTACCTACAGAGCCTGACGTCGACCCCGGCACCGAAAATCTCAGAGGGCCAAGGGGGCAGATGAGTCTGGGCTTCGGTGCTCCAGCGGGTCAGGCTTAGGCGTTTAGGGTGCTGGATCTCGGATGCGACGCGGATCCTAAACCCTAAACCCCAAACCCTAACCCCAAAACCCTCAACCCTAAACCCTAAGCCCTAAACCCTCAACCCTAAACCCTAAACCCTAAACCCTAAGCCCTAAACCCGAAACGCACCTCGCGAGCGCAGCTTGGCTTCAAAGACGTCGAGCAGCTCGCTTCCCCGCGCCTGTAAGAGGCTTAAGGGGTTTAAGGTTTGGGGTTTAGGGCTTATGAGTTTAGGGCCCTAAACCCTAAACCCTAAACCCTAAACCCTAAACCCTAAACCCTAAACCCTAGGGTTTGGGGCTTAGAGGGTTTTGGGTTCGGGGTTTTCAGCTTGGGGTTGAGGATTTGGGCTTTAGTTGGGGTGTGGAGCGGTATGGAAAAGAACATCACTCAAGCCATAAACCCTCAAACCCTGGATAGTTTCTGCAAACATCTCAGACTCTCTACGAAGCTCAAGAACGCGATGTATGGTTCGCCCGAAGCCGTACATCTACAAGATCTCTTGCTCCGAGCACCCGGTGAAGAAATAACCCCTAATGCCTAAACCCTACACCCTAAACCCTAAACCCTAAACCCTAAACCCTAAACCCTAATGAAACCCCAAACCCCTCAAATATTCGGGTTCAAGTCTTTCAGTCCAGGCTTGAGGGCTGCAGCCTTAGGTTGACGTAGGAATTGCCATGTTGGGGCCTACATCTCTCCCACTAGTGTTGGGAGAACCGGCGTTTAGGGTTTAGGGGTTTAGTTTGGAGCTTAGGGTTTAGGGTTTACCCTAAAACCCAAACCCAAGACCCAAGACCCCTCGACCCTGACCGACGAAATACCTGACCTCTGAACCCGAAACCCTAAACCCAAAAAAACGCAGGCTTCGCCCGCTGAAGCAGACCTTGCTGATGTCGAGAAGGGCCACTGGACCTTTCAGTCTCTTTACGTCCCTGTCTTGGGATGTCCCCCCTTATACTAACAGTCCGTAATCGGTATATTGCAGTACTCCTATGATAATCCCTAGGGGGAACATCCCAATCTATCTATGTTTAGGGCTGAGGGTTTACGGTTTAGGGTTTACGGCTTAGGGTTTAGGGCTTAGGGCTTAGGGTTTAGGGCTTAGGGCTTAGTGTCGAGGGCATCTAAATGCCTGCATGTTCAAAAAGCCTTTAGAGCCGGAGGCCTGCTGCAGAACTCGAAGCCCCAAGCCCTAAACCTCCCAACCCTAAACCCTAAACCTTAAAACTCCAAACCCCCCAAACCCAACACCTAAACCCCCCAAACCCTAGTTAAACGCCCAAACCCCAAACCCTAAACCCCAAACCCCAAACCCCAAACCCCAAACCCTAAACCCTAAACCCCAAACTAAACCCCAAACTCAAAAGCATCAGCCTGCGCCTTCTCACGTACAGGAGCGTAAGACACCCGTAGGGAAATCTAGTCCTACCTAGAGGTACATGGTAACTACGGAACATAACTACAGCCATTTACTGCGTAGGTGCATCGTCCGTGTACAAAGTTTTTTAATATTTCTACCAGACAGCACTGTCACTACTAATACAGTAATCTTTAAGGCCTTAAACGAAACCTTCTAACATCGGTTCCAAAGAATGGACCCTCGAGTGCTCGTGGCCAGCCAAAGGCCTTGGGCCAAACACTATTTGCAAACAGTTCGGTTTTTTTTGTCTGGCCTTTCTAAGGTCTCGAGTGTTCGTGGTTGGTGCCAGAAATTACTCCAAAACGAGATCCCAGGGAGGGTTCGTGGGGTTACCTCAGGACGCGGGAAAAAGCGCTCTATTCCAGATAGAAATGACCTCCACAATCTTCGTGAATTCCATTTTGTGTCTTGCGCACAGTTGTAACGGACAGAAATGTCCTGTTCAAGCAAGCGGCATCTGTTCGCACGCGTGATAGTGCAACGTAACCGGCCCCGGCGACGTTCTCCCGGTCGAGCCACCATGCCATGTACTCTAAGGTCGCTCCTTGGACCTTGCGCAAGGTCGTTGCAAAACCGAGTCGCGCAAGGCAAAAAGTCGCACTCACGGCGCTGCCATCTGCAAGAGTCTTCGCTTCGGTACGCCGATATCATGTCAAAGATCTCCCAGTTCTGGTTCGGACTTGCAGTCCAAGTACTCCGACAACACGCACATTATGCAATTATATGATGCCATTGACATGATCTTGCTCTTTGTCGATGTTGCGTGTCAGCATGAGCACCACGCCCAGACGCAAGTCCGTCTGTGAGCAGCGGTAACTCACGCACTCGCCGCGACGCATGTGTTCTGTCCGTCGGGACGGTGTCCAACGGCTCTTGGTGTCCGAAGCGTACTTGGAGAGCCACGCGATTCAGTTCCTCGGCGGCCAGGCGAGCAAAAGTCACCCGTGTTGCATTGCAGCGGGCATCCAGGACTCGCTCGACGTCCCCTGCGCTATCCAATGGAGTTGGCCCTCTGTCGGCTGCGCGTGTCGCAGCAAGCTCAACATGGCTTTCAACTGCGGACAACGTGTTCCAGTTCGAAGGCACGAACTCTCTACCATAACGGGCTCGTTCCTGCAGTCGAACCGCCGATGGCCGGGAGCTGGTAAAATCTCCCAAGAAACCAGACGGTCTGGAGTCTGCTGCTTTCCATATTCGCATGATTCTCTCGACATCGGACCGCCTAATCTGCCAAATCTCCTCGACAATTATGGGGTCGTACCACGAGCAGGTTCAGCGTCAGGCCCTCCTGCACATGCGGCGAGAAAAGAAGCCATGTACTGCGTCGACGTGCGCGCACGGGAATGCCTTTCTGTAGCTGGCTGCTGGAAGACCAGTCGGACGAGCCACGGCTGTGTTGGCACCAATTTCCATCGCCTTCGCCATGGCCATCTGCGCGGCTGCGCCCTTACCGGTGCCCGCGGCGCTCAGGAAACATTGTGCCAATTTGTCTGCGTGCTTTCGGACTCGCTTTCCCAAGAAAGCTTGCCACTCGTCGATTGCTTCGGGTTTTGAAGTTCGATCCGTCATGGCTGTCTGGACTCGACGCCGAAATCTGCGCAGAACCGTCTGCTGCTCTTGCCTCACCGCCACGTCAAGGCGGCCACCTTCGGCGAGGAAAAACACGCGCGCGTTTAGGGCGTCGCGCCCCGCCCCGAAGCCCAAGCGCAAGCCTGCCGGCAACACACTGCAGAGGCTACGCGGTTACACATGCACTGGACGGGCCTGCTTTACTACTCTGTGGCACTGGAGGCGGAGCTTTGTCGGTCTTCTATGTCTTCTAGAGTCTGCTGCAAGCTACGATCGTTGCATAAGGGCCCACGACCTTCTTTGGTCGTGACAGCCTATAGCCGAACCCCCTGAGCAACTTCCACATCTCCAGTCTTCGGACCAGTCTTGCGCCTTTTGGGCCCCTCGCTAGCCCGCACAAGGCGCCGCGTCTGCCCGAGCAGCCTTCTCCGCTGCGCTCATCGCCCGGTGCTTCTGGGGCCGCGCCAAGAGCTCCTTTACAGCGGCTAGTGCTGCTGCCTTCTCTGCTTGCTCCCGCTCGCGTCGCTTGCGCTCGGCATCCCGACGGTCCCAAAGCAGGGTGCTGCGGCGCCTTACTTCACTGCCTTGGCCTTCTTCGCCGGCAACTCCTAAACCCTAAACCCCGAACCCGAAACCCTAATTTAACCCCAAACCCTAAACCCTCAACCCCAAACCCCAAACCCTAACCCTAAACCCCGAAACCCTCAACCCCAAACCCCAAACCCTAAACCCCAAACCCTCCACCCCAAACCCTAACCCTAAACCCCGAAACCCTCAACCCCAAACCCCAAACCCTAAACCCCAAACCCTAAACCCTCAACCCCAAACCCTAAACCCTAAACCCCAAACCCTAAACCCTAAACCCCAGACCCTGAACCCTAAACCCTAAACCCCAAACCCCAATCCCTAAACCCCAAACCCTTAAACCCCAGACCCTGAACCCTAAACCCTAAACCCCAAACCCTAAACCCTAAAACCCCAAACCCTAAACCCCAAACCCTAAACCCTAAACCCCAAACAGCTAGCCAGGGTGCCCTGGAGCCGGGCCCTGGGTGCCAGCGTTAGGCGGGCAACGGAGGCCGCGGCCGCGGGGTCGAGGAGTTGCTCCCCTGGGTTTAGGGTTTAGGGTTTAGGGTTTAGGGTTTAGGGCTTAGGGTTTAGGGTTTAGGGTTTAGGGTGTCTCAATGAGTGGGCGCGCTGGTGCTGAAAGCACCCAGGCTCGCGCCCCGATTTGCATAAGCCCACCCCCGCTGGCGCTCCACCCTCGCCTTAACCTCTACAGGTTTAGGGATCTTTTGAACTCTGATCGTGCTTTTGTTATTTTTCTCTTGTCTATTGGTTGGGTTTAGAGATTCGGCATTGATGCAGATCACCTACCCTGAAGCTCGCAGCCCTTAGGCATTGCAAGGGAGATGTCTATCAGTCGAGGGCTGCTGGGAGAGCCAAAAGTCAGAGGTTTGGGGTTGGGGCTGGCTGCCGCCTTCGCCCTCGGCGATGCGTGTTGGGCGGGGATTTGGAAAACTTGCTTGGAAGGGCGTGAAATCAGAAGTTTGGGCTTTCGCCGCTTTCGCCATGCTGATGCTGCATCTTGTATTCTGTTTGTCTTTTCGAATGGTCGTTGGGCTTAGATGTCCATCATTCGAGGGCTTCTGGGAGGGCCAAAAAATCAGCGAGGGCCTTCGCCCTTGCACGCTGCAGACCAGAAACTCGGCCCAACCAAGCACAGGCAGGGGCCTCAGGAGGGGCCTTCCAGGCAGCGGGTTTCCAAACAGGGCCCATCTCAAAATCTCAAACAAGGCCTTTCAGGCAAGGACCTCCCAGGCTCCCAGGCAGGCGGCGGGGCCTCCCAGGCAGGGCCTTCAGGCAGGGGCCTTCCAGGCAGGGCCTCCAGGCAGGGCCTCCGAGAAAATTGATGGGCCTGAACCGGGTCTGGGAGCCTCTGGTCCAGGAAACACGACGACGGCCGGAGGCGAGGCTTTTCTGGGAGAGGCCCGGGAGACCTCCCAAAAGGAGGTTGCCATGTTTTGCCAGAAGGTTTGGGGTATCTCATTCTAGGGGCGACCTGACGGGTTTCTCGCCAGCGACCTGCCGGCTCCACCGCGCAGCCCGCAGCTGCCTACGGGACTGGAGCTCCTCCGGAGCTACCTCGCCTGCCGGCTTCGGTGCGTTCGCCCTGCTCGACGGCCCCCGGGCTCACTCAGTTTAGGGTTTAGGGTTTAGGGTTTAGGGGTTAGGGTTTAGGGTTTAGGGCTTAGGGAAACTCAGAATTTCAGGGTGTTGGGGTTCTGGGATTAAACTTGTTAGGGTTGAAGGGTCTTGGGGTTCGGGCCTAGGGCTCATGGGATTTGCTCCCCTGGGCTTGACAATTTCAGGGGTTTGGGGGTTGTGGGGTTTAGGGTTGAAGGGTTTTGGGTTTAGGGTTTGGGGTTTAGGGTTTTTTAGCGTTTAGGGCTTAGGATTACAAATCTTGTTAGGGTTGAAGGGTTTTGGGGTCTTGGGTTGAAGTTGAAGGGTTTAGGGTTTTGGGTTTGGGGTTTCGGGGTTGAATGGGTTCAGGGCTCAAGGGGGTGTAGGGTTTAGGGTTTAGGGTTCGGGGTTTGGGGTTTGGGGTTTCGGGGTTGAAGGATTTGAGGGTTCGAGGAATTAAGGGTTTGGGGTCTTGCAGCTTTCGGGATTCTAATCAGGCATTGGATCTGGAACTTGGTATTAATCTTGGAATACACGGTTTCGGGTAGGCTCAAAGGCGTGAACATCGAGAGAGCAAGATTCCTGAACCCTACACCCTAAACCCTAAACCTTCAACCCCGAACCCTAAACCCCTAAACCCCTAAACCCCTAAACCCCTAAACCCCTAAACCCCTAAACCCCTAAACCCCTAAACCCCTAAACCCCTAAACCCTAAACCGTAAACCTCAAACACAGACAAGGCCTGGAATTGGAGCCGGCGGGAGGTCGAGCGTCGGAGGTCGCGGTTCCACGAGCTGAGTTTAGGGTTTAGGATGTAAGGGTGAGGGGTTTAGGGTTTAGGGTTTGGGGTTTAGGGTTTAGGGTTCAGGGTTCAGGGTTCAGGGTTCAGGGTTCAGGGTTTAGGGTTTAGGGTTGAGGGTTTGGGGTTTGGGGTTTAGGGTTTAGGGTTTAGGGTTTCGGGTTTCGGGCGTCGGTTCAGGGTTTAGGGGGGGTTTAGGGGGTTTAGGGGGTTTAGGGGGTTTAGGGGTTTAGGGGGTTTAGGGGGTTTAGGGGGTTTAGGGGGTTTAGGGGGTTCAGGGAGGCTTCGGGGATTTGAGGCTCCGAGTCTCAAGGTGTGGAGTTTAGTTTAAGATCCCAGGTTTCGGGGTTTCATAAGGGTTTAGGGTTTAGGGTTAAAGGTTTAGGCTTTAGGGTATTAGTTCTTTGGGGCCCTCACCCATGAAGGGCTTACGGGGCTTAAGGGTTTAGGGTTTAGGGTTTAGGGTTTAGGGTTTAGGGTTTAGGGTTTAGGGTTTAGGGTTTAGGGTTTAGGGTTTAGGGTTTAGGGTTACGAGCTTCAGGGTCGCAGGGGGGTTGGAGTTGAGGCTGTTTGGAGTTCTAAGGTTTGGGGAGTTTGGGGAACCTGTTGGGTCTTTAGGGTTTAGGGCTTGCCCTCAAAGAAACGATGTACCGGAGAATCTTTCGGAAACTACTCTGAAGTCGCCTTGCGGATTGGAACGGCCAGTCAACCCTGTCGCCAACTGCCAACAACGCCATCACGCACAACTTAGCTTTGGAGTAGACCCTGGAAAAAAAGTATATACTTTTTAGGTAAAAGTAGCTATAATAGGAACCCAGAAACAAAAAAAGTATTAAAGTATAGTACTCCAAGACCCAGACAAATAATCCTTTAGGGTTTACTCAGGGTTCAGGGTTCGGGCTTGGGGTGGTCCGCATGCCTGACACCTGGCACCTGCATGCCTGGCACCTCCTACGTACGGCCTTTGCGTATCAGAGCTAGGCGTTAAGGGCTAGCTGAAGTACATAAGGCCCAAAACCCTGACCCAAAACCCTAAACCCTAAACCCTTAAGACCATCGAGTAAGAA